TAACAATAAATTAGAATCAGAACAGATCATCAGTGAATCGTAGAAAAATTTATCTCAGCAGCAGAATCAAGCCATCAAGCGCAACAGTGGCCGCTCTTTGCCAAAAGTACCGCAAGCTGTTTAAGAGTTAGGAAAACGACGACGAAGAAGAAGAGGAGCAAACCCCGGTGACGGCATCCCAGCTCATGTTGATCGATTTGATCGGGCCGAACACTGCAAACGCATTTTTGATCATCTCTTCACGCACTTCGAAACTTATCGAGCCAATATAGACGCGAGCCATCAGCGACAGCGCCTGCGCGTACATGGCCACTTTTTGTTGCTGAAAACGAATGAATTAAAAGAACTGATGAAGAGTGTTTCCTTCCTGCAACTTCGGAATGAAGGATCTCGCGGCTTGCCCCCTCAAAATCGAAGCTCGATAACCTTTAAAAACTTCTATTTCTTCACTATTCCGACTGATATCCTGCCATGTCTACAAATGCTCGACAGCAACCGTACGGTATTTGCCCGGGCCAAGCAACTCTGTACCGCGAGGCAGTGCCTGTCGTACGATTCGCGGCGACTTGGGGAGCTGCCGTGACAGAAAGATGGCTTAGCCACCAGAACCGAAGACACTACAGCAGGGGATCAAAGAACACTCCAGAAGGCAGGGAGAGGCATCTTTTTTCCAAGCGATGCTACTATAAAAGGGCGGTAAAATCCCAACAACAGATAAGGCTAATCATCAGAAAAATATAAAAGGCGATGTATTTCGCATTTCTATCTGCCAAATTGACGAGAGGGAAGCAACGAAAATACAGCGTTAACTGTCAACCTAATTATGTTGCTTCTTCCCCCGGCTGTGAGGATGAAAGGAGGGGCAACTACGGTACAAAATATCGAAATTTCAAAAAAATCCTGAAGAACTAACGTTTTGCTGATGGGCGAGTGTCTGTCGTAGGAGCACCTGTTTGATGGACTGTTCTCTGGCATATTTCTTCGCATCAGCAAGCCAGTCCTTTTGTTTGGTGCGCAATTTGATAAGACCCAAACCCAACAGCTGCGCCTCTTTCTTCGCGCCTGGCCCAACGATAATCTGTAAAACGAATACAGATAAGTTGGAATATCATGCAAAATTATTATCCCTAACAGCAGCCTCGAAAATTAATTATCAGGAAACCCGGGTTTTTAAATAGCACCGCCCAGCATGCATGTTACAAGGCTGACCGGTTTCACAGAACCATAGAGAAACTGAGATTTCGCCGGATGAGATAACACGAAAATTCTCCCACTGTGAAATTTGGTCGACTTCGAAAAAGTGCTGGTCTGCCAGCTCATGATCCTCGAATATTCACCGGATTACCCAAGCCCTCCTCTCCCTCCTCTCCCCCCCCCCCCCCCCCCCCCCCCCCCCCCCCCCCCCCCCCCCCCCCCCCCCCCCCCC